TCTTTTTGAGGTAGTTGAACTGGTATAAGGATGTTATTCTCCACTTTTTCTTCATCCCAATTTTAATTATAATTCTCATAAACTTTGACATCTCGACTGATAATGAGTTTTTTAGTTTGCAAGTTGTAGACATGGTAGCCCTTTGAGATTGTGATATACCGTAGGAAGATACCTTGTATAGTCTTGTCTTCAGGCTTGCGCCACTCCAGGTTTGGAATATGAATTGTTCGTAATAAACATCATTTAGAGAAATCCCCTTGAATTTGGTCAGGTGAGATTGCAATCGTCTTGTCCGGAAGGAGGTACGTTAGTGAGGAATCTTTGACACCATTGTTGGTGGTCCAAGGTTTTCACGTGTTTTTCTCTTCTTTTTTTGTGTTATTCATTAATCAGGTGCCCCTTTTACTATTTGGTCTCAAGGCCTATTTATATGCAAACCTTGCCCCCTCTTAGATATTGAAGGGGAATGGTTTTAATAGGTTAAATAGCCATTAGTGATATGTACCTGATTATTAATCGTTATGTAAAAATGTCCAATCCTTGATTGTTTCAGGAACATTACAACGGTTATGACTTGGATCGTTCCTTCAAAGCCCTGTCAATTGAGTCCAAAATGAGTATGAAACTCGTTGCCCGACCTTATAAAATCTCTGGGATGTACATCAGCCATATCAAAACCCGAGAAGCATACTCGGCTTTAAGAATTTCGGGGTGTACATAAGCCCCCCCCCCCCCCCCGATCATGAAGCCTAACGAGATGAAATGTTCGGAAAAATAATTTTGAAATTATTTCTTCTTGAATGGGTTATACTTCCATATGTTTTGGTTTTATTAGTAAGCCAATCATGAGTCTAGTTCGACGGGCTTTCCAAACTGTTTCTAGACATAGAGGAGTCAGAGAGCCTCATTGGGATTTCGACCTATTGTCTTCGTAGAACTTGGTGGTTTCTGGACATAGAAAAGTTTGAAAGCCCTAGTGGGATTTTGACCTGTTGTCATCGTAGAACTCGTTAGGTTCTTGATATAGAGAATTTGGAGAGTCATAGTCGGATCTCGACCCATTGGCGTCGTAAGAATCAGAAGGTTCTAGACATAAAGAAGTCGGAGAGCCCTAGTGGGATCTCGACCCATTAGTGTTGTAGAACTCCGAAGGTTCTAGACAAAGAGAAGTCGGAGAGCTCTAGTGGGATCTTGACCTATTGGTGTCATAGAACTCGGTAGGTTTTAGACATAGAGAAGTTGGAGAGCCCTAGTGGGATCTCAACCTATTGTCATTCCATTTTAACTATGGCAATGCCTATCCTTATCATTAGGATTGTGACATCCCATATGGGTTTTCAAATATTAGCAATAACCAAATCTTGATAGTTTCTAACGATCACAGGTTTGGCAAATCCCGAGTATATCTTGCTTTAATACCCAGGTGAGTTGGGTTCCAATGCCCAAGAATTTTTGGTGTGATTAAAATCAAAGATCGTTCTCATCGAAACATTGGTTCATAATTGTTTAGTCATCCTTTCTAGATGTATTTTGTAATTTTGGACGCATTGTTAATCCTTTGATAATAACATTCGAGCTCTTATGAGATTATTTTAGTTGCGACTGTGTTAGTCCTTTTGCATTTGTTATGTAGCCCTAATATGCTTTATCTCTTTGATAACAACCGATTTTTCGAATGGAAATCAAATAAAATGGTTGGTTCCAAGAGAGTCGTCTTATCTTTTAACTAAAGTTTGTACCATATAGGTTTAAATCCCCGGCGAGCCAGACATAGCTGACTGATGGATCTTTATATTTTAAACATAGACCAACTAACTCCGAGTAGATCATGTCGATTATTTGGTCAGTGATAAGTTAACCAAACCGCTTAAGGTCCGAGGTATGTTAATTTGACCGGACCAAAGGTAAGTTAACTTTGCCAAGATGTCAGAGATTTATTTATACTTGGTCTTTAGTTTAAGGCTATAGCTTTCAATTTACTTGATTGACATTTAGAGCTTCATGAGAGTTTACGTCAAATAAAGGTCAGAGGCTTTTATTTGCATGACTGACGTTCAGAGCTCCACGGAAGATGACGTCAAATGGAGGTCAGGTGCTTTTATTTTGCATGATCGATGTTCAGATCCCTATGGGGTTAACGTCAAATGGTGGTCAGAGGCTTTATTTGCATGACCAACATTCAGAGCTCCACGGGAGTTGACGTCAAATGAAGGTCAGAGGCTTTTATTTTGCATGACCGGCGTTCAGAGCTCCACAAAAGTTGACGTCAAATAGAAGTCAGAGACTTTTATTGCATGACCGAAGTTCAGAGCTCCATAAGAGTTGACGTCAAATAGAGGTTAGGGGCTTTTATTTTGCATGACCGACTTTTAGAGCTCCTCGGGAGTTGATGTCAAATAAAGGTCAGAGGTTTTATTGAACATGACCCGACTAGAGGTTTAACACTTAGGTGACCAATTTGTCCCCAAGTACTAGTTTCCTCATTTTTCTTTTATTAAGTCTTGAGTGGCAAAGAACATACATTGCCTTTAATCATGTTCTTCTATGATATTAGCTTGATCCTTTTTTTGTTGCGACAACTTTTCTCTACATGCTCGAACTTCTTGCATTGGTTGCGTTGTGTCCTATAACGATACCAATAACTTTTCTACGTGTGACTTAGTCTTTTGCATATATTGCATGAAGGATTTTTATCTGACTCGTTCTTAAGGAAATTTCTAAAAACTTATATTCTTCTAGAAGTTTCTCCGTAATTTTTCTTTCCTCCATTTTCGAATGGAATACATTTTCAATTGTATCTTCTTTATGCCTATGCAGTCTTTGCTCATATGCTTTAAGAGAGTCCATTAGATTCGTCACTAGTAGAGTGAACAGATCTTTGGTTTTCTCAATCGTTGCCAGAATTGGGTCAAACTTTGAGTGCATAGTAATTAGAATTTTCTCTACATTTTTTTTGTCAAAAATATCCTCCACAAAAGCTCTCATTCAATTAACTATTTCTTTAACTTTAGAATAGTAATCTTCAACTGTCTCAAACTCCTTCATCTTCTATAGTTCAAAATCGCTTCTTAGAGATTAAAGTTTAACAACAAGTATCTTGTCGCTTCCTTGAAACTCCTCCTACAATGTGTTATATGCTTCATTAGCAGTCTTAACTCCCATAATTCTTGAAAAAATTGCATCAGTCACCGCTTGTTGCAAGGTAAACAACGCCTTTGAATTTTTCTGTTTATTTTTCTTCAATTTTTTTTCTTGAGCTGCATTAAGAGCTGAAGTAATTGCTGGAGCGGTGAAGTCTTCTTCTACTACGTTCCGTAAATCTTGTGATGAAAAAAATGTCTCCATTTAAACACGCTAGAAATCATAATTTTTATCATTGAAAATATGGACATAAATAGATGATGATAGAGTGGTGTTATACATAACTTAGAAAAACTATTGGAATGGGTTAATAGGAGAAGGAACTTAGTTGGGATGATTTTGGAATAGTAGGTAGCTAATATAACTACGTCCAAAGTATGATCAAGTTACCAATCTCTCAATGGTGGTGAATGTTTCTAAGTTATTTTAGTTCTTTCTAGATATTTTATGATAGATTAGTATTATGGTAGTTCTAGATTTTTCTATTTTTTTCATACATTTATAGTTCTATGTTTTTCTACTTTTTTCATTTATATTATAGCTCTAAACTCTTCTACCATTTTCATACACATTATATTTAAGAATATTTTAAAAATTTATAGCAATTTCAACCGTAAGGATCCAAGGCCTTTTCCATCCCACGTAAATGAGTGTCAAATTAACTAAATCTACAACTCGTGTAACTGATCCATAATCATACGGGCGACTTATTGGTAAACTTATCTAAGCAACACAAGATTTGATTTAGCTTATGTAGTTCAACAGCTAAGTCAGTTTATGCATCAACCTACTCAAAACTACCACAGTGATGCAGCTAGAGTTTCCGCTACCTCAAATTCTGCCTAGCTCTTGACTGTTATTCCCGTTAGATTCACACATCCATTGACAAGCTTTCAGAGGATCTGATTAGGCAACTTGCTCCGACACTAGGCACTCCATCGGTGGCTACTGTATTTTCCTCAACAATTCTCTAATTTCTTAGAAGTCCAAGAACCAATCAACTGTCTCCAAATCATCTTACTAGGTCTGTCTTTGAACTGTAATGACTCACATATCTTTTACATGATTTGCATGTATCATTCACAACACCAGCCCAGTTGTACTATGAAAGCATGTCTACTCGCCACATAGCTTTAAATTTTTCCTTCCATGACTGCATCAAATATATTGATTTGAACTACCATATGGTCGGATTAAAATTACAAGTCATAATGATCCATTACAATTCAAACTTATTAAATCCATTAAATCCTTTTCCTTATGATCTGACCATAGGCCCAATGTATTATACCATTCATAATGGGTTTGGACCAAGATTATAATATGAGAGAGAGAGAAAAAAAAAACAGAGTGGATAGTGCATTAACCAATTCTAATTTATATTATTTTTAATTTTAATTGTATTTTTCTCATTTAAATAGGTCTTTTCATTTATTTTGAGAAATTGAAGATGATCTCAACTCATTAAAATGTTATAATTTAGCCGGCCAATTTTATAGTAATTTGATAGATTCAATTTATTAAAAATTTGAATAGAAAATGATAGTCTTGCGCATATATGAAATAGTCCGCACCCTTCATTTCTATTTTCAATATTTAAAATCTCACCTAACATTTTTGTATGGCCTAGATATAACCATACTCTATTCATCAAAGAAAGTCTGGTTCTGAGTAGAAAGATACTAATGGAAGTTAGTGTGTCATCTTTCAAATCAAGTTTTCTTGGTATTATTCTATAACACATCTGAAATAAAAAGTAACTAAGATTTTGATCAATTTTTGTATAAAAACAAAAACTAGTAAAAGACAAGGATAAATGCAAAATTGTTTATGTTCAACTTTGAGTTTCATTTGATTCATTAAGATGAAGGACTGGGACAACAAGTAGACATAGACATAGATCCCTGTCTATTAAGATTAACAGACAACCCTTTTGCCTTACTAGTATACAATTTTTTAACATTAGCACTTTGATCTTGCATTAATCTAGCTAAACTTCTCTTAGCATTAGCTCTAAACGGACAATTAGACGCCATAAACCCATCCACCAAATGCAAATAAGCTTCCAAATCATGACAACAAGCTATATCAGCATCAGGTTTCAAATACGGCGACATCCTAGTATTAACACGTAACTCAGTTCCAACGTGCGAATATCCTAAAGGAGTGTTCTCTTCCAACATATCAACCATTCCACTAACAACCTTCGAGTTCTTGATTTTTTCTTCCAGCTCTTCGCTTAAGAATATTCCTGGCACCCTTGTAATCACGTCTTGTGTGTTTACTATTCTGAGAACTTTCACGTTTTTACTTTCAAGATGCTCTCCGAAGGCTTTGTTGCCCACACGAGGCCCGCCGAATGAGAAAACTGCCACGGGTGGGACCTCAGGCCCGCACGTGCTGATCTCGTCGGCTACTAATAATGCTAGTGTCGCACCGAGGCTGTGTCCGGTTACTGTTATGCTTAACTCTTCGCCTTTGTAGAGTTCGATAAGACGTTTTATTTCTTCAACTACTGATTCGGATAGGCTTTCTACATGGGCTCCTTTTGTTTTGTATAAGCTCATGAACCCGCATTCGACTTTGGGCTTTGCTTGGGCTTGAGTTTGGGCTTTGTTGTCGTCGGTTAAGTTAACTAATTGGGCTCTCATGTTTTCGGCCCATTCGAGACAGGTTGAAGTTCCGCGGAGAGAGATTACGATATCTCTTCTTCCCATTCTCGCGATCTCTCTCCTGTCGTCGCAAACTGCGACGAATCCCACCCAACTTGATCGCTGGGTCATCCATCCGAGATCCGGAGCGACTTCGTCAATCCATTTAGGTAACCCGATGGATGATGTGGCGTAGAGACTCTTGGTAACTTTGTAGGATCTTTCTGGTAAGGGGACGTGGCGAGGCTGTGGTGGTTCGGTTGATGACATGGCGGGATCGGAATGAAAGGCTTGATACGCGGCCTGGACTAGATCGCCGTAACGAACAACTTCTCGCCGGAGATTGTCGTCGAGGGGATCTAACATCCCTTTCCAGTCGTTGCTGCCGTGGTATTGTTTCCAGTTGGAGGCGATAATGTTTCTGGGGGAATATTCGGCTGTTTTGGAGAGAAGGCGCTGGAGGCGTTTCAGGTGACGTGGGGAGATTTCTTCAGCTGCTTTGATTTCCGGCCATAGTTTAGCGAGGTTGAGACCTTCAATGAAGTTTTTTCCTTTTCTGTCCTTTGAGTTGTTTTTTTGAATGGGTTGGTGGTGGTGGTGGGTGGTGGTGGTCGATTCTAATGGCTTTTGGGATTGGAGAAAGTTATCGAGATTGGAGAGATGTAACCTAGATGGATTATTGTTGTTAGTTTGAAGCGAAGAGAAAGAAGAAGATTGTTGTTTAACGGAAGAAGAGTGGCATCTGAAACTGGGACATCTTAATGCTTGAAATTTATGAAGGTTATGAGCAGGTACGTTGGAGGTGAATTGCATCATGGTGAATAAGAGAGGATTGAGTGAAGAAAATTGTTAAAAGATGAAGACAGCGTCAATAAGAAGAAGACGATGATTCAGTTGTAGTAATGAATATTTTCAAGTTGTGCTGTTCTTGAATGGATCAAGTCCTTAGTAGTGGTATTTAAAGAGGTGGTTGCCATGTGGGTCTACATTTTGTATGTAAAATAATTGTCAACAAAAAAACTCGTAATTAATAAATGATGGAGTATTAATTTATTATAGTATTTGTACTCACTAAGGGTATCCGCGGTTTAATAAGAAATAAAATAAGTATCCGCGGTTTGCTTAAGGTTGATTTTATACAATTTATGATAATTATTTGACATATCACACCATATTTTTGGGAAAGCACGCACAACTCTATAATTTAAAAAAACAAAAATAAGAGATAAGGTACAGAATCTTAAAATAAGAAAGATTTGTTTATATGAATGAATTTTAATTTTTGGTTTTTTTAAATTATTTTATAAGCTAATTTCAAATAATAGTTTGAAAAAAAATATGCTTGATAATTTTTAATTTTAAAATTTACTTTAAACTAATATGGTAAATTTGCTATTAATAAAAACTTAATATTTTCCTCTTCTCCATTTTTAAAACTAAAAATCAAAACTTGTAAAATTTATTAAGGATGGTTTTCAAAAGTAATCTTGTTAAATTGTGCTACAAAATAAATTTTTGAATTTTAAAAACTAAAAAATAGTTTAACAAAAGTAAATCAAATAAGTAACATTTTTGATAACCTTGATTCACTAAATATTGATTAGAAAGACTAATTGAGACAAGTTTATTTGGGAGTGATCGTCTTTTCTATAAATTTGAGATAATAAAATTTATGTTTTTTCTTTATTAAAAGTTCTAAATTTGAGATAATAAAATTGATGTCTTTTTTAATTAAAAATTCTCTTCTATTCTTTTTATAAAGAGTATAAATAATTTAACTATTGATTAAAAAGATCAACTGAGATAAGTTTGTTCGGAAGTGGTCCTTTTTCCTATAAATTTGAGATAATAAAATTCATGTTTTTTCTTTATTAAATACTCTCTTCCGTTTTTTTTATAAGGAGTATAAATAATTTAATTATTTATTCTTTAGTAATTAATATATTTTTTCTGTTTTAAAAAGATTGTCGTTTTAGTAAATAAAATTTTATTTTATAGTGATTGTCATTCTTACTTTTCAATATAATAATGATTATTATTTTTCTAAATACATTTTTAAGGCAAAGTTATACCAGAAATTCTTTATGATATTTAAATGTAACAAGTTGGTCTTTTATGTTTTTTTCTATAAATTAATCTTTTAAGTTACACACATTTACACCGTTAGTCTTTTTTAATGATTCTACTCCAAAAATGCACACATGTCATTAATAGTGCTTATATGGATTTAATGTTGTTGAGATGACATATATTTGAATATTACTTGAAGTAATTGAGAAAAATCACTTTCTTCTTCATCAAATCCATAAAACATATGTATCAGTACCCAACCAAGTTCTTATTCTACTTTCTCCAACAATGGCTTCATACGGTACAAATTTGTCAAATTCGCGTAGCCCTAACTATAATTCCTTGATTTTGAGTGCAAGTCATGGGGAAATTGAACAAAGGCGTGCTTGTGGAGTAAAGGCAACAATACGAACAGTGCGGAAGAAATGACCAAATTTTGGTGAGAAATGAGTTAATGTATGTATGTGTTCCATTTTATGAATTAATGTATTTACTTTCAATTCATTTATTGCTTTTTTGAAGTTATTTTAAAATCCTTTATTTTCGACTTTAAATGTCAACATGTTTTCGAATCCTTTATTTTTGACTTTAAATGTCAACATGTTTTCAAACTTATAATTTTTGTACAATATGTCCTGTGATCTTTTCGGGTTTAATCCCTTAAGTGAAATCAATTTTTTTTCTTGTTTACCAAATTTCACAGTAAACACCTGGACCATGGCCACTTGCTGCATAAGGGGCACTTACAAACCGAAGAAACTCTTTAACCTATCTGTTACCATTGATAATTTGACCATCCCCTCTTCCCAAAAACCATAAACTTGCCCTTTTCTGGGTATTGCAGTGACCAGACATGCAAATGATTTTTTTTAGTCAGATTACATATGCCAGTGACATTATTGCTAGAGCCTCCATGGCCTCATGCAAACCTTTCGCTACTTCAGTTCGCACCAAGCATAAGCTCAATACCTCTGCTGACATCCCATATGACGATCCTACTTTATATCGAAGTATTGTCAATGTTTTGCAGTATCTCACATTTACCCGTTCTAACATCTCTTATGTTGCCCGGTAGGTGTGTTTTCACATGCAAGCTCTCTGTACCGACCACATGCTTGCATTGAAACACATCCTACATTATATTTTGGGCATCTTACATTATGATTTGCATCTCTATCCTTCTCCCTTCGAGAAACTTGTTTCCTACACTGGTGTTGATTGAGGTGGATGTCCTGACACCCGTTAATCTACTTCTAGTTATTGTGTTTTTCTTTGGGACAACCTAATTTCATGATCTTTTGATAGATAACTCACGCTTTCTCGTTCCAGTGTAGAGGTTGAGTACTGAGACATTGCTAATGTGGTTTCAAAATCATGTTGGCTTTGCAACCTTTTCTTGGAACTTCATTTTCTCGTTTCCCAAACTACTATGATGTACTGCGAAAATGTTATTGCTATCTATCATCAGGAAATTGTGTCCAACATCAGCGTAACAAACAGATTGAGATAGACATTCATGTTGTTCGGGAGAAGGTCATTTGTGGTCTGCTCGCGTTCTTCATATTCCTTCCTGACACCAGATTGTCGATATCTTCACCAAAGACCTCCGTTGAGTTCTCTTTGATGATTTTTGGACTATTCTAAGTGTCTATTAACCTCCTGTTTCGACTACGGAAGTGTGATAGAATTTATATTTATTTTATAATTATAATTTACTTATAATCATGACAAATTAAGCCGACTCTCATGTAATATATATATATATATATATATATATATATATATATATATATATATATATATATATATATATAAATAAATTTTAAAATTAAGTAATAAAAAATAAAAAACAATATTATTCCAAGTAATATTAAAATTTCTATAAATAAATGGGCTTGAGCTATTCTTCGAATAAATAAATAAAAATTTGCTTAGAGCAATTTTTTTATTTGATTTTTTGGATTTTCTCTATCGTTTGCCTGTAATGTGAATAAGTGAAATTCCATATAGCTTTGGTAAGTATGAATACACCAAGGGTGTTAGTCAGTCAGTCAGTCACACGGACGATTTTTTATTTAAAACATTTTATCCAATAGTAAATGTCTAAAGACTTGTTGTTGTTGGGAAATTAATCAATTTAAAAAAATGAATATTAAATGAAAACAAAAACAAAGTCAAATATTTTATGTTTTATGAAAGAAAATATATTAAAAAGTAAAAAATGTCAATATGGAGCGCGTTTGTATGTTGAGTGTGAATTGTTGATACTACGTTTCCATTTTGCCAAGTTATGTGGAAAGTGGGAAGGAAGTAGGAAATCTCATTTTATCCCATGAATAGTCTATGGCAATATCACTTTAATAAGGAAGTGACATTTTTGTCCTCGAAGATTTTGTTTGCATTAGGTAGGAATAATATATGGTTTGACATTCTGTTAACAAATGCTCTTTGACATTTTGTTTGGTAAAAAGTGGTTGGTGGTTAATTAACAAACTATTATCTAATATTTTGTGGATTAAATTTTAAAACTTTAATATAATTAATTATTATTGTTAATTGTTATTATTTTATAAATATTAATAATGCAACTAATAATTGAATCTTATACCGATTTATATATTAGTCATCAAATATCAATAATTAAATTAACTATTTAATTATTTGATGAATAAAATGATATATATAGAGATTTTTTTAGTAAGATAATAAATAAAAACCTGAGAAAAAATAAATCCAAATTGAGCATACAATTTTTTCCCTAATTTATTTGTTTTTAATTTTAAGTAAGTCCTTAATATGGTTTTAAAAAGTAGAATAAAAGATGGACCCTCCATTTGTAAAATATTATTTTTATTTTTGTTTATATAGGACTGTTTTACTAAAGATAATAACATTCATACTCATCAATTTAATAATTTTTAAAAAAAATAATAATAATAATAACATTTATTGAATAAATTTAAAAAGGAAAATATAATTAATTTTTTTAATTGATAATTTATAAGTATTACAAACTTATTTATATTAATATATAATAGATAGAAATGTTGCTACCAATGTATGAATTTTATATCAATAGTTCATATCAAATATATTGTGAATGTGATTATGGTAGGAGAACCAAGGGGTTCATTTGGTGGAAGGATTTAAGGAAGATATATTGTGAATGTGATTATGGTAGGAGAACCAAGGGGTTCATTTGGTGGAAGGATTTAAGGAAGATAAGGCATAACAATGGTAACAGAGCTTTTGTTTTGAAAAAAAAACATCTCCTGCTCAGTAGGCTAAGGGTAATAAATTTTCTTTTTGACAAGTTAGTGGACATGCAACCAAAGTCTTCAAAACATATTCTATGAAGTTTTTCAAGTTTCAACCAAGAAGGATTGTTTCATTGAAGAAATGGGAGAGTGAATTAATGACAGGTGGATCTAGTAATTAAATGATATGATTTTTGATGAATCATCTGATTTATGTAGTTTGAATGCAGATTCAGAGTCCTTCTTGACAGATTTCTCTTTTGCAACAAAATCTATTGATCAAATTTTTTGGAAGGGAACTCTATTGGAGAGGTTTTTTTTACTAAAGAGCATTGAACATTGTGGAACTTCCTTCTTTGAGCAATAACTTTGTGTAAGACACACTGCATATTCACCCAAAAAAACCTTAAGGTGATAGGTGTATGAATCATTTCACTTATAAATGCTCAAGTCTGCACAAATTTAGCCAATATAGGACTATTACCCATA